GTAGCCGGGCTAGCTTAACGGTCCACAGACTGAACCCAAGCTAACATTTGGTCGACGGGCGCTTGCCGGTTACTTTTTTTGCTTTGCAGAAGAATTGAACAAATATTAACACACCAGTTAATATTGTAATCTGCCCCGCCGTTTTTTTCTTTCGAAATAACGGTAAGGTTTGATTTTTTTCTTCAAACAGTAACATACCTGTTGCTAGTTTATCCCTCCGCGCCGACACCACGGCGAGCGGGGACGGACTCTTCTCTCCCTCACACCAGAGGAGACGGAGATAAGAAAGATATTAACACACCAGTTAATATTTTTTAAAGAAAAATCTACCCCGTCGTTTTTTCCTTTCGGAATAACGATAAGGTTGGATTTTTTTATTTTTTTTCGGTAACATACGGTAACTGGGGCTCCCAACTGGACCTTACCGTGGTTCTACCCGCGGAGGATGTCCTACAGCTGGATTATATGGAGGAGGATGAAGAGGATGCCTCTGAGTTCCTCTTATCCGACTCGGACGAGCACGAAGATGACATCTTCGTTTCATCTGCCCAGGCTGCCAAGCCGGAGGCGATATCCGCTCCCCCGGGCGAAAGCACACCAGCTTCGCCCTGCCTCAGTATGGACTTGCAGGCCGTGTGCCAACGCGCTGCGTCCAGGCTGGACATCCCCTGGCCTGAAGTGGCTAAGGAGACCTCCAGATCTCGCTATGAAGGGAAGAACTTGCCCCAAGCAGCGAGGATGAAGAAGCAGCTTCTCCCAGTCTTTCCAGAGATGCTGGACGAGGTGTCGGTCTCGTGGAGAGACCGCCCTTTCAGCAACAAGGCCCCAATCCAGGGTGCCTCCTCTTTGGACTGTGACGGCATGGAGAAGCTCGGCCCGCTCCGCATGCCGCCCATGGAGCCGCTGGTGGCAGCCCACCTCCAACCGCGGCTGGCTTTGGCACCAAGCAGGAACCCCACGCTACCGGCAAAGGCAGACCGCTTCCAGTCAGCAATGACCGAACGAGCCTATAAAGCCGTAGCTTTGTCCGCCAGGGCGCTCAACGTCTCCTCGCTGCTGACCGCCTACCAGGCGGAGCTCTGCGAGGACATGACGATCAAACCTGAGCCTGCCGTGTGGGACGAAATCGCAGCGATCACGGACATTTGCAGCGCTGTGCAGTCCAAGCCACGGGCAAAGCACTGGGGATAATGGTGGTACAGGAGAGAGCCAGGTGGCTTACCCTGACGAACCTTCCAGACCGGGAAAAATAGGACGTCTTGGACATGCCTATTGTTCCCGAGGGCATATTTGGCTCCGTTCTAGCTTCGATGCAGCAGCGGTGTGTATCCAAAAAGAAGGAGGATGAGGCTCTCCAGCTTTGTCTTCCCCGAAGGGTCCAGCCGCCGCCTTCAACTGCCTCGCGGCAGTCCTTCGCTCAGGCTGCCTCACGTCCTGCCCGTTTCAAGATCCCGAAACAGCAGGGGCCACAGCCCGCCCCGGGTCTCCAGCCCAGACACGAGGCGAAGACGAGCTGGCCAAGAAAGTCTCCGGTTCCGGCAGCAGCCGCTCAGGCACCTAATAACCTATAGTTATTTAAACATTCCCTAATAAACGTGACTTCAGCGTCAATACATGAGTGTTAAACCCTGTGTGTTTAGGGTACAACATCACGCCATTTCACCTTCAATTCACGATTTGAAAACGTAGCATTTCGCCACATGCTAATGCTAACCGGAAATGAAGAATTTTCAGAATAAAAGTGTTAAGTTAATAGTTAGTGTGAAATTCCGTTTTTTTCAGAATAAAACTGATTGAAATTAAATAGTGTATTTAATTCAAATTAATTAATTCAAACGCCATATGATTTTAATTTCTAACACATTCCACGTCTCCACACTCCATCCCTTTCATTCGGTCCTGTCACCATCACAACAAACAACACGTGAATCTGACCAATCTCCTTCCACTCCCCCGGTCCACACAACCCCTCCCAATGCACGCTCCATCCACAATAAAAGCCACATTCTGAATGAATTCATTAAAGACAATAACCTGGACTTTCTGTATCTGACCGAAATGTGGCAAAAAAAACCTGGAGAGGGGGCTCGAGAGGAAACTAGACATGGGACTAGAGAAGGGACTAGAGAAGGGACTAAAGAAGGGACTAGAGGAGGGACTAGAGGAGGGACTAGAGAAGGGACTAAAGAAGGGATTAGAGGAGGGACTATGGCTGCTGGGGCCAGAACTGGGGCCGGAACCATGGCTGCTGGGACCAGAACTGGGGCTGGAACCATGGCTGCTGGGGCCAGGACTGAGGCTGGAACCATGGCTGCTGGGGCCAGAACTGGGACCGGAACCATGACTCTTGGGGCTCGGGCTGCTAGCCTGGACTTGCGACTCCTTCTCTTAGGAGCCTTTTGGAGGCTCCGTGGACCTCCAAAAGCCAGACGAGTACCCAAGAACGGCTCCTGGACAGGAGCAGGAAATGGGGAAGAAGCAGTGGTTGACTCCAGACGGAACACACCGAGACGTATGGTGTCAGGCTGGGAATTGGGAGGCAGGGGACTAGCATGCCAGGGGCTAGCAGGCCGGGAAACAGGTTTGACCTCAAAGCTGCCCAAAAAGTCCTCCACCCACTCGGGTAGCAACTCCCTCAGTCAGGGCCTTGAGGTTACCTCCTGGCGTGCCGCAGAAATAACTGACTACCTCTCTTCATTACTAAAGTCATTCCTCAAGCATGTTAAATTGTACTTCACCTCGTACAAACTGTCTGCTGGGTCCATTCTTGGTTGGTTTCTTCTGTTAGGGTGAGTGAAACAGGCAGGACCCAAATGCAGGTTGAACAGAGAAAAATACCTTTATTTCAAGGTGTATGTGACAAAAAACAGAACACTCCCCGGTGAACACAGTCTCAGACAAACGACGAACCAACAATGACAGACAGCAAAAACAGAACTTAAATACACACAAGACTAATCAACGAAACAAGAGACAGGTGAGGAGGGAGGAGTAAACACGGTGAACACAATCAAGTAAACAGGTAGGAGGGAACAGGTAGGAGGGAACACACACAGACAGGAAACCAAGGACAGATCTAAACAAGACAAAACACAACGCAGACAGAAAACAAAAGACAGATCTAGACCAGACAAAACACAACACAGACAGATCGTGACACAAAGTGATGATTTAGTACATGGTTTTAATAATACTTTTGCTTTTCAATGTTTGCCATTTCAAACCATGAGCTGGTTCAAATAATATTTGCCTTGATTTACAATATGTTCTCCTTTGTTTTATCAGTACAGCTTTGAAGCTTTTGTGCTTTTCTTTGCCATAGTCCACTTTGGATTGCACTCACTTGAAATGTTCTCACTTGCTTGGTTTAAAAACATAACAAATGCCATAATCTGTTCATTGGGGACCATCAATGCTATTTTTCATTGCTGTTGCCGGCCACTATCATACCTGCCAACCCTACCGATTTGGGCGGTAGTCTACCGCTTTTGACATGTTTCTACCGCCTACCGACTTAGCTGGCTTTCCCTACCGATTTTCAATCTTCCCAAATTATAACAAATACAAATGACACTACATAGACACTGGACTCGACTTTTGGCGGACACCGTTTGCAGCGTGTGTGTGATCGCATCATACAAACAGTCCTCTGTGTTTCTGAAAGAGAAACAACGTGCAGACCGGGGGTAATGCTGCCTTTCCTCTGCACGGGGCTGATGGGTAATCACTCCCAAATGAGTTTAAGGCATGGCTTAAGGGAACAGAGACGAGGCATTTGAGTCCTGCAGGATTTCCCCGTTAGTATCAGTGTCTTGAAAACACATGTTGGCGACTGAAAGACATCCAGTGTTTGATATTTTCCTGAAGCATCCTTCACCTACAGTGTCTCAACTGAAAGAGGACCACAAACACACACAAAATATAATTTTTATATAAATATTTATCTCCCATTCTTTCACTTTTTCTGTCATTTTCAACACCAAACATGTCGTTAATGTCTCTGTTTAGTGAGCTACAGCAATCTGAAAGCCTGTACATTATTTATATCACACTTTATCAGTAGAAAAATGCAGGAAATAACTTTTTTAATGCAGTATTTTCTGATTTATGGCGCAACACAAAGATATTTCGCAAACCTTTGACTCTAATATGTCAACAACATGAAACAAGAATATGAACCTGGCTTTATCCAATGTTCACACAATAGTTCTACATCCTGACACATCCTTCATCTACTGTCTTTTTCTGAAAAATGCATAAAATGCCTCTTTTGGATTTGGAAAGGTTGGCATGTATGCACTATTGCTCATGTAAACCTACTACTGCTGGGCCCCCTGTAATCTCAGAGGCACCCTGAGTCATTTTGTTCTGGAACCGGGCCTGTACACGGCCATATACTAAACACACTACAGAGCCCATTCCGTGTCCTGTTAGTGTTTACTTCCTCTCTGCCTTCTTCTGGTGATTTATCTGACGTCCAGCGGTCCGTCTTTTAACCTCTTTCCCTTTCTCTTTCTGGATCCTCCTTAGCAACCTTCATTATAGTCCTTGACAGTGGTCTGTACTGGATTAACAACGCGTCACATGTTAAGAATTTATAATCAGAATCGAGTATTCAACTAAGCCATGTAATAAAAGTTGTACAAGGGACTACACAGTTGTTATGCTATACCACATTGCCCTTCACTGGATGTATAATGCACTAAACTACATTTTAGCATTTAAAATACCTAGCCATTCTTTTGTGGTTATTTTGGTGAAAGTAACTCAAAAGTAACTACAAAGTAGTGTAACTCATTACATTTCAGAGACAGTAATATTGTAATGTAACTTATTACTTTCAAAAGACAGTAATAAGTAATATGTAATATATTACATTTTGGAAGTAACTTGCCCAACACTGGCCAACACCCTCCCACAGTGAAGCATGGTGGTGGCAGCATCATGCTGTGGGGAGGTTTTTCAGCAGCAGGAACTGGGAGACTAGGATCAAGGGAACGATGAATACAGCAATATACAGAGAGATCCTTGATGAAAACCTGCTCCAGAGCGCTCTGGACCTCAGACTGGGGCGAAGGTTCACCCTTCAACAGGACAACGACCCTAAGCACACAGCCACGATAACAAAGGAGTGGCTTCGGGTCAAGTCTGTGAATGTCCTTGAGTGGCCCAGCCAGAGCCCAGCCAGAGCCCAGCCAGAGCCCAGCCAGACCCCAGACTTGAACCGGATTGAATATCTCTGGAGAGATCTGAAAGAAGAATGGGATAAACTGCCCAAAGATAGGTGTGCCAAGCGTGGAGCATCATACTCAAGAAGACTTGAAGGTGCTTCAACAACGTATTGAGTAAAGGGTGTGAATACTTATGCATATGTGATATTTGAGTGTTTTATTTTTAATTCATTTGCAAAAATTATTTAATTTTTTTTTCACTTTGTCACTTTCAGTATTGTGTCTAGAATGTTGAGAAAACAAATGAATTTAATCAATTTTGAAATATGGCTGTAACATAACAAAATGTGGAAAAAGTGAAGGGGTATGGATCATAGACTGTATATATAAATGGACGAAGTGTCCGTGACGTCACCCATAGGATTCTGCAGAGTTGCCGAGAGGCCCTTATTAGGCGGAGTCGGACAGTGACGTCAGAGTCTAACTCCCGCCTGCTCCAGCCTGATCCAAATAAGGGCAAAGAGGCGGAGCCGAGGCAGGACCTGCTGCCACCGAGCTGGAAGTTCCAGAGCTAGCTCAGGCTAAGAAGCTAAGCTAATATGTTCCCAGTATTAAGCTAACAACCAAGCTTGCGGTCACTGCTCCTCGTTCCCGGTATCTTCTGAAGGTAAGATACCCTGTAACTTTACAAAACTTGTCCCTTTGATTTAAATGTTCTTGAACCTGCACTATACAATTGTTGTTAAATGCTTCACCGTTTTTCAAATATAAATGTAATTTGTAACTACACTTTGTAAACTAAATCAAATCAAGTTTTATTTATATGGCACATTTATAAACGATTTTTGGTCAAGCCAAAGTGCTGTACATATAATAAAATTAGCCTACAGTAGAGACACTTTACAGCAAATACAACAGCACAGATTGTTCAGAACATTAGTATGAGAAAAACGACACCCTCTATCCTTAGACCCTCACATCGTACAAGGAAAAACTTCCAGAGAAAACCCACAGTTTAAGGGGGAAAAATGGGAGAAACCTCAGGGAGCGCAACAGAGGAGGTATCCCTCTCCCAGGACGGACAGACGTGCAATAGATGCCGTGTGTAAATCAAAGAGATAATACATTTTACAGCATATAGACCGAATGTTAGGAAATGCATGTGTCTGTAATAAGAGGATGAATCCACGAGGATGTCAGCTACAATCCTGAGGAAGCCATCAGGGAAGCAGCATGACGAGACCCAAGGCAGGACCGCAGAGACAGGTTCAGCCACGACCCGAAGTCCACGACTTAATCCAGAAATCGGGATAGAGGATCCAAGACACAGGACTACAGCAAGAGGATCAGCCTCAACTCTGGATCCCGGCGTAGATATAGATACAAAACAAGAAAAAAGATTTGGCTGGGTTAATCGGAACAAGAGAATACACAGACACAGACAGAGAGGGAAAAGGTCATTGGATAAAAGTTATTCTTGATAACCCTCTAGAAAGATCTCATGAACTTCTCCACTCAATCTATCAAGACCCGAGCAGTTCTATTAGAAGTCCAAGGTAAAGGCACAGGCCGGCGCATATCGCTCATGGAACCCCTCACCATATAAACTCTGACCCCTCAAGTGTACAAGTGAAGAGACACCATGTGTCAGCTCCTTTTAGAATAGTATTTCTTCTCTTCTCAGAGAAACAAGGGTATGAAAAGAATAGCCAGAAACAGAGGAAGAGAGGCAGAACGTGACTACGTAAATGCACTCTCCTAAATATTAAACGAGTAAGAGGTGAAGAAGATATACTAGCAGAGATATGGCCAGTGTTGCGTGAATTAGCCTATGGAATTAGCCACAGACTGTAGCCTATATGTAAAGGAATTAGCGTATTGTAAACTAAGCTGTACGTTTAGTTTTAGGATAATCAATTTACCTACATTTCGACTTTAAAATAACATTAGCAATTAGCACATGGTTAATAAGCAGGGGTGCACATAACTGGTACGCAGGTACGGCAACAATCTCAAATGCGTACCGTCACTTGTGTCACAAAGTGCATTTGCGTACCGACGTACATGTGAAGCTTTTCCAGAATGCGGTTAGATCACCGGTCTCCGTGTGCACAGACAGGGCTGCTGTTAACGTCGGTCTGTACAACGGAATTGTGCCAAAACTACGCCAACCGGCTGCGGAGGGAGACTCCCCCCCCTTCACTGGAGAACTGCGCTAAAACAGCTGATCACAACGCTCACGCTCTGTGGTCACGAAGTACTCCACTGCAGTTTCTGAAGTGCTGGAGCGGAGCTGCGTTCTGGTGCTCTCCGTCAGAACTGCCCCTGTCAGTCGAGACATATACCACGTGATGACACGTTAGGCTCGTGTTGTGTTCAAGGACCCTGACCGTGGCCAGGAAAAACAGGCACTCGCTTGTTTAATTTTTTTGCGGTCTAGATTTCTTACATTTTTGCGTGTGTTCATAAATTACCTCGAGGGCCGTACCAAATTGTCTCGTGGGCCGTATACGGCCCGGGGGCCAGAGGTTCCCCACCCCTGCTCTAGCCAATCAAACCGCTGCTTGTGTGTCAAGCAGAGGTAAAGTGCTATTTTACAAGTGGTGGGGGGGGGGGGGGGGGGGGGGGGGGGGGGGTAACTTCAATTTAAATATTGAAGTTAAATGCATCAACCTGGTGCATTTTGAGAGCAAACATTAATTTATGGATACATCTCTCAAAACCCATATGAAACAGAACTGTAAACAGATTTTCTTTATGGATATTTTACAAATCACTCACCTTTTTACATTACATTGCATTTAGCTGACGCTTTTATCCAAAGCGACTTACAATAAGTGCGTTCGACCAACAAAATACAACCTTGAAGAAAACAGAGTCATATAAGTACATCAGGTTTCATAGAGCCAAACATTTCAAGTGCTACTCAACTGGCTTTAGATAAGCCAGTCCTTTATTAGTATAAAAGTGCTTCGTTAATAGTTCTATCGCTCGAAGTGGAGTCGAAAGAGATGAGTTTTCAGGTTGCGCCGGAAGATGTGCAAGCTATCTGCCGTCCTGATGTCAATGGAGAGCTCATTCCACCATCCTGGAGCCAGGACAGCAAACCCACATGTTTTCGCCGATGGGAACTTGGGTCCCCCTCGCAGCGAGGGTGCAGCGAGTCGTTTGGCTGATGCAGAGCGTAGTGCACGCGCTGGAGTGTACGGTTTAACCATGTCACCTTTTAAACTGTATTCTTGTTTTACGGTCATAAAATAACTGTTTTTCATTTATTCTCATAAATGGTGACCAAAACGTTTGAGACCCACTGAAATAAATAGACTAAAGTGATAATCTAAACAGAGTCCCTTACCTCACTGAGCTGTAGTTATCTCTCTCAGTCTGGCAGGACAGAGCTCTCCCTCTCCTTGTTTTAGAAACAGCTTTTAATAACCGTTTATGTTTATTAAGGATCCCCATTAGCTTTTGCTCTCGACAAAAGCTACTCTTCCTATGGTCATGCTCGTCTCTTGTGTAAACTATTTGATCATAAAAACAGTGGTTTTTTGCTAAATTGGAAATGTTTTAGAAAAGTGATAACACGAGATTGCAGACCGTTAGCGCAGCTAGCTAACCAGATGCTAACAACAACAATGAAATAGTGAGTATGGTAGAAATATACTGTATAATAGTAAAGTTATTTAAGATAAGATTGAAGATTTACATTATAAATATTCCCCAAAATTATTCAAAAGCATATTCTTCCAAACTCCTTGCTGTAGTATGACACACAGGAGACTATTAATGTGTGTGGTGAGTTTGGTAGTAATAAGCTGTATAATAGTGATTGAATATTATTGTATTCTCTTTTTTCAGAGTTACACTTTGCAGACGGTCCCTGAGCAATCGTTTCTTCTCGGGCTGCAGATAGAGACCAATGTAATGTGTCCAGCTCGGAGGACGGCGCGTATTGGCTTTTTTTGATCAAAATGAGATTGTAGTTCTGATCAGATAACGAACAAGTAAATGAAAACAGAATGAGGCGGAGAAGTGTGTGTGTGAGAGAATGTGATTAAAATAGCCCAATTGCTTTTACAATAAATAAACATTGAATGTGTTTAATTGAATAGTAAAGGGGTTTAACGTTAGTGGCAGGTTGTGTGTGAGAGAGAATAAATAAGAAAAATATTTAGCATATTTCGCAACTTTTCACCGCATAAAATCACATAAAAACCCCGCATGTTTAATCGCATAATCAAGGATTTTAGCCCGCGTTTTTCTGGAGGGTCTAGACAATGATTATTTATTTCAGTGATAAGACGATGGCAACCTCCTCCACGCCTTCTTCAAAACCTGTAAATGTTCTCTCTCTCTCTCTCTCTAACAAACAAAATTAGCAACCCTTTATTGTGACGACTCCTCCCCCCTTCTGCCTGGCTGTGCTCCCTGCCTTGCTGTCCTCTGGGAGTGTCGTCCTGTTTGTGCCCGCCCATCTAGAGGCGGAGCCACAAGAAGGTATAAAGGTTGCCCAGCTGCAAGGATCACTCTGATTCAGATCCTGGCATCGTTATTTTGCTCTTTCCCAAGGTCGCTACAAGACAAAGGCAAAGGAAAGGTAGGCACAGGAAATACAGATTATTTTTTCTTAGCACCTTCTACCTGGGAGATTGGAGACCCAGGCCATACCCGATCACCAACCAGGTCATTTCCCAAGATGATCTGTATGCCCCCCATAGGCAGAGAAGGACGCACTCCCATGACCACTTCCCCTTGCAGCAGACTGGAGACTAATGTCAGTTTATGCTGTGGAGCAGAGAAGACGGTTAATCCCATCCCCCGGACCTCAACACTGGAACCGGTGTCTGTCTTAGGAGAGAAAGGTAACACAGAACCAACAATAAACGAGTCCAACACCCCTGAGTCCCTTAATATCTTTACCGGTACCTTCTCTTTACTCCCGACCAGTGAAACAAAACCATCAGACACAAAAGCTTTATAACCAGGGTCTATCTCCTCATGTTCACTGACAGGAGCCTGAATTACCGATTCAGATAAAGAGGACTGAGTGTGTTTCCGCACAGCCGCAATGACATTTTCCCTTTCCACTGCACGTAACGATGCTACAGCCCCAGACGCTTTTGCCGACACAGGCCCAGGCTTTCTCTTCCACTCAGGACAATTGTTTCTCCAGTGTCCTTTATTAAAACAGTAATTACAGATATGATTGGGTCAAACTTCCCCCGATTTCCACGGTCAATCCTAACTGGAAACTTGTCTTTTCCTTCTGAAACACCTTTACTGAAGTGAGCCCCCGCACTACTCTCTTTGTATCCCGCATCGCCAAAAAACACTTTATGGGTCAGAGTAAACTCATCTGCCAGCTTGGCTGCCTCTGAAACTAGGTTTACTTTCTGCTCATTAATGTAGGTAACAACACGGTCAGGCAAGGTACCTTTGAATTGCTCAAGCAAGATAAGCTCCTGCAGATCTTCCAGAGTTTTTATCTGTGAGGAAACACACCAACGGTTGAAACTAGTGGTTAAATCACGAGCAAACTCCATGTGTGACTGCTTCTCTCTTCTGAGTAACCTAAAGCGCTGTCGATATGCTTCAGGTACTAACTCAAATGCCTGAAGTACAGCAGCTTTCACTAACTGGTAATTGCTACTGTCTTCAGCAGTCATGGCAGCGAAAGCCTCCTGGGCCTTTCCAGTGAAGACACACTGAAGCAGAAGGGTGCGCTCAACATCAGACCAGTCTCGTGCCTCTGCTAGACGCTCAAATAACACAAAGAAAATGTCTGGGTCCTTTTCGTTGAACCTCGGAACTATCCTCAAATTAACAGCAATATCAAATGCTTGATTTACAGGAACCTGACCTACAGTCTCTGCAGCTCTCCTGGTCTCAGATGGAAGCTTACCTTCACTCATCAGCTCCAATCTGTAGTGCTCCAAGTCTAGTTTTTGTCTAGAAGCCATCTCTGCTTCCTGAAGACGGGCATTTTGTCTCAACTTTTCTACCTCCACATCACGTTCCAACTGTAGCATTAGAAGCTCCTTCTGTTCTTTAAATGACAGTCCAACCCCAAGTCCAGACAGGACTGGAACCACACCTGAAACATTACCTGACTCAATTGACTGTTGGGAGGCAGGCCCCAGAAAGACAGACAAAACACTTTTGTCCACTAACTGTGCCTTTATTTCTACCAACAACTCCTCTTTATTCAACTTTTTGGGAAGTTCAAGACCGTAATGGTCAGCCACTCTCAAAAGCTGATCTTTTTTATAAGTACCCAACAAATCCTCATTTGGGGACTCAACAAAACCTTCAATAGAAGCCATTTAACTGTTTACCGACCAAGGCAAGGTTTTTCCAGCAGTAACTGATAGTGAAAGACAGTTTTACATATGGACACCCCACTCCTCTGGCTAACTACCTTACCAAATGCTTACTGACTCACTCAACCCTAGTCTTCGTGTAGAATTGTGGGAGGATTTTAAGCACAAAAGCCCAGTGACCCGGTCAATTCTCAGCAATTGAAAATCACCTAGGCAGTCATGGAGTGCACCCGAGCAAATGCTCTAGCCACTTACTACACAAAAATAACAAACAAAAACAAAAAAAGGTTCAATGGAGACAACTTGTGTCTCATTGCTTATACCTAACAGGAATAAGAGTTCCAAACATTTGACAGCCTTTAACACAAAACAGCAATACCGGAAAACATAGCTTGCCTTGGACAGAAACACAACTGTGAGTAAGACCAGTTACTTAGACATAGAGTAAGATCAACCAACAATCTGTATGAACACTCCCTGACTGAAATAGGTCACCATGTCCTTTATCCAGCACCGGAAATTATCTCGGACAAGCCCCCGCAAGTGGGTTACGAAATGCCCCAGCCACGTTTCAACGCCTGATGAACCAGGTGGTGTCAGGTCTTGCTGGCTGCGCTGTGTATCTGGATGATGTTGTTGTATACAGTGACACTTGGGAGGAACATCTCCAACACATTAATGCGCTGTTTGAACGTCTTGCCTGGGCTTGTCTGACCGTTAACTTGGCAAAGGGTGAGTTTGCTAAGGCAACGGTCACCTACCTGGGTAAAGTAGTTGGCCAAGGACAGGTTAAGCCAGTGAGGGCAAAGGTGCTGGCAATCGACCGGTTCCCTGTTCCCACAACCACAAAATAACCCTCTCGTTTCCTGGGCATGGTGGGGTACTATCGTGGGTTCTGTCAGAATTTCTCTACGGTGGTTGCGCCCCTCACCTCTCTTCCCAGCCCTAAGGTCAAGTTTGAATGGTCTCCTCGATGTCAACAGGCTTTTGAGGCTGCGAAAACTGTGTTGTGCTCTGCTCCTGTCCTTGCAGCTCCCCAGATGGACCAGCCCTTCATTCTTCATGTGGATGCTAGTAAGGTTGGAGCTGGGGCTGTACTCGCGCAGGTTGATGAGAGCGGCTCCGAATGCCCGGTGAGTTTCTTCTCTAAGAAATGTAACTCTCATCAATTAAACTATTCGATCATTGAAAAGGAGGCACTGGCACTCATCTGGGCGTTAAAACATTTTGAGGTGTATGTTGGGAGTGGAGTTGGGCCCCTGGTGGTCTATACAGATCATAACCCCCTAACCTTTCTGCACTCGCTCCAGAATCCAAATCAACGCCTTATGCGTTGGTGTCTCTTCCTCCTTTTCATCTGGACATTAGGCATGTCCAGGGCTATAACCTCTTAGGTTAACTAGTGTTTTTCTCCCTGCAAGGGTGTCTGTTTTTTCTGGTTGCCCTCTCTTAAAATGCTTCTTGGGTACCAAAGTTGCTGAGGGGTTGAGCTAGATGCTACAGATGTGCTTACAGGTTGTAGGAACATTTCAAGATTAACTTTGTGTATTGTGTTTTGTGTCTGTGATTTGGTGCCCCAGGTTGGAGGATCCTCCGGTTATCACCCGCAGTCCAACGGTCGGACAGAACGCCTGAATCAGGACCTCGTAACCTGCCTCAGGTGTCTCGTGTCCCAGAAGCAATCCACTTGGAGCCATCATCTGACCTGGGTAGAGTACGCTCACAACACTCTTCTATCGGCTGCCACTGGTCTCTTCCCGTTCCAGTGTGCGAACGGATATCAGCCTCCTCTCTTCCCTGCCAATGAAGAAGAAGTCAAGGTGCCATCCGCGCACGCTATGGTTCGACGCTGTCAGCGGGTCTGGGCTGGTGCTCGGCAGGCGCTACTCCGGACCTCGAACCCGGATGAAGTCAGCGGCGGATCATCACAGACGTGCGGCCCCCCTCTACAAGCCGGGACAGAAAGTCTGGCTCCCTACCAAGGACCTACCTCTTTATGTTCATTCCAAGAAGTTGGCACCAAGGTTTGTGGGTCCTTTCCCAGTCTCAAAAATCATTAACCCTGTCTCTGTGCGCCTCAAACTCCCCAGGTCCTTGAAGATTCATCCTACGTTTCATGTCAGCAAACTCAAGCCAGTTCAAGAGAGCACTCTGGTTCCCCCCTCCACCCCGAATCATTGATGGTGGCCCGGTGTACACGGTCAGGAAACTTGTCGGTCCGCCGAGGACGCCAATTCTTGGTCGATTGGGAGGGATACGGGCCTGAGGAACGTTGCTGGGTCTCCTCGACTTTCGTGGTGGATAAAACACTCATAAATGACTTCTATGATCGCCACCCTGAGCAGCCTGGGCCGTCGGGAGTCGGCCCTAGAAGGGGGGGTACTGTTGTGTCCCGTCAATTATGTTACTTTGTTATGTATTTGTCACGTTCATGTTTGTTTTGTTTGTTTCACTTCCTGTTTTATTTTGTACTCCTTGTCTCATTCCAGGTGCCTTTACTTCCTTGGTTCCCGCCATCGTCAGCGTCTGCCCCGCCCCTGATTGTTTCCACCTGTTTCCACTTACCTCTTGTATATATTGTCCTGTCTCCCCTTGTCTGTTGTCAGTTCGTCATGCCAAAAAGTCAGATCCAAGCAGCCATAGAGAGACCAAGTACCTTTTGTGATATCCTCCATGAGAGCGTTTTGTTTTGTGACCGTTTTGTCACTCCCTCTGTAAAGAGTGTTTCTTTGTTTTTGATCCATTAAAGTTTATTTTTCTTCAAACCTTTTCATCTCCGGGTTGTGCAATTGAGTCCTCATATCAGTGAGTCACGGTTCCTAACACTTTTTTAGCTATTAAGATAATTAAGTTATAAGATGACAACAGATGAATGAATGTTGCTATTAAAATAATGTAAAAAAAGGTAATATAATTCATCTGTTTTTAAAGATTATTGCCGAAGTAGAATCATGCTAACTTTGCAGTTTTTAACAGAGTACGTGGGGGGGAAATGGCAATTATCTATGTATAATAAAGAGTCTTTGCATAAATTGAAGAGAAATGTGATGGTTTGCAAAATAATTCAATTTATATGTTTCTATACTGGCAAAACCTTAATTTGGCCTTTAATCAAAATAACATTAGCCATCACTGATGTGCAAGCTGTGCCATAACAATTATTTAGCATTGTATTATGTATAAAATGTATTTAATTAGTAACAACAATTGACACCTACAAATGTAACCATAAAAGTTTTTTGTTTTTTTTAAAGTATCTGTACCCATGAGTCCGTGCTGAAGTGATGACTGTCAAGCCCTTGGGTATATTTGCAGTTTCCCCGCTTGAAAGGAATGGTACAGTCCATAGGTTTTAACTGGGTTTCACTCGTACAATGACCACAACTTTGTTTCTTTTGAGTTCTTCTTTACTGTCATGTTTTGTTGTTGCAGTACAGCTTATGTAGTAAGGTTGTAAGGTAAAAAAACGTTAAATAAAAAATAATTACTGTAAATACAATGCACATCAAATAATAAATGCAAAAATACATGCTTTACATATACTTTTTAACACTTGTGAATATTGTTTTTATTTTTATGAATTATGTTTTTAACTTATACAGTCTCATTAAAAATGCAAATATAATAGACTGAATTATTAGCAGCATGCAAACCGTTTTTATTAATCTACATCTACATCAATAAACAAATCACATTCGTTTTTAAAGCAACAATCATGTTGCTTTAACTTGAGGACATCAAACAAACAAATGACACTGAACTAGAACGCACGTTCTAACGTGTGCCACGAACGGCAAGTTGTATGACTCTTCACTAACCACACAGTTCGTCTCTCATCGGCCACTTCTCCAGCTTGTTATGGCTGCACCAGTGCTGCTTCTTTGACGTTTCTTCTGCTGGTTCGTTGCTGCTGCTGGACGCACGCTTTTTAGTTTGTCCCTCTCCAGCTTTGATTACTGCCCTTCTTTCAGGTGCGTTGCTTTTAAAGGTGCAGCGACGCTGATTAGCAATTAGGGAATGATTTCAGACAGCTGCCACTCTGTCAATCAGCCCGACTTTTTAACCCCTTGATCTCCTGTGAGGATTTTCCAAGTTGACTTCACAATGACTCTCAAAGTGTTCACTGCAAAGGCGAGAATAAACTTTGGGGGTCTATTTATTTCTCCGGATGTTCAGCACCCACTGGTCCAGCCTGTCTGGATCACCTAAAGGAAACCTTTATACAAAGATACATGAAAAGTTATATGTTAGGTGTGTAGGGTTACAGACTGCTTAACAAGCAAAACATGGAACTTAAATTAGTGATGCAATGCTGAAATGTAAAAATGTGACAGTCAAAAAGCATAGGTGTTTTAATGCCATATTCACTTAATAACGCATGAACAACTTTTACAAATATTTGTATATAGTCTGTGTCGGTAAATGTCATCTACGTTGCACATTTCCTGCTGAAATACATGCATACCAAGTTACTGCGTGGCACTTTGGTTTTGATAAAACAGTGTAGTTCCACTATATAAACGTTACATTCATAATCAAACGAGACAATCTGCAAGAGAATTAGCTATTTTTTGTTATTCTTAATGCTTGTCATTCACACGTTAATAAAATAAAAATAAGTACCGATACATAGCAGAACAATTGTGGTGATGTTTAGCTAGTACTACTACAGCGGGCTGCAGGCGAACCAAATCCGCGTTTCGCTGCATTCCTTGATCTCCAGTTATAACGCCTGACTCCGCCGCCCACTGGGATAATTTGGTCCCCTTTTAACATGTGCTCCCGTTTAGCATTATGGCCGTCATAGCCATAGAGTAGACTATAAAAGTCTTACCCAGTGGCGGCTGGTGGAAAATATTTTTGGTGGGGCTATGGAAATGGTGACCAAACCATACTAGGGTGGTCCGGGGGGATGCTCCCCCGGAAGACATTTTTGAGAAATGACCCCTTAAATTATGACTTCTGGTGATGTTAGAGGGGGGGGGGAGATAATCCATAATCTTCAGTGTGGTTAGCTATGAATCTTCCTAAATTTCCAAAAACCTTGTCCTGGACATAGTTTCTACAGTATAAACTGTGCAACAGTACAGTAGGCCCACACAAACTGCAGAACACTGGTGCTTTGGGAACACTCAAATGATTTAATTCCCATTTAGGAGACTGAATACGAACATCGTGCGTGTGTGTGTGTGTGTGTGTGTGTGTGTGTGTGTGTGAGTGAGTGAGTGAGTGAGTGTGTGTGTGAGTGTGTGTGTGAGAGTCATACTTGCCAACCCTCCCGATTTTCGCGGGAGACTCCTGATTTCATTGCCCTCTCCCGGTTTCCTCCCGGGGTCATATTTCTCCCGCAATTCTCCCGATTTCTGCCAAAATCTAATTTACACACGACTGTTTCCACTCAGACTTTAATACAGCTACACCATTGTTTAGTTTCCATGGTAGCGCGTCTCTTTAGCAACGTGTGCAACTCAAAGTCTGGGAGGGTGAGGAGTCACATAAAACTAAACAAGAATCGACAACTCGACCCTCTGCTCACTCCTTTCCTGTAAATTACAAGTCCAGCCCACACATATGCTCCATGGTGCTACAGGCATTGCACTTATAACTACAATAAGTATGTAAATGTTAATCTACAGCTCCGGCGATCCAATAGCACCCGGAGTCTCCACCTGCAGATGCAGCCATCCACATCAACTACTGACTGTAGCGTCACCTTGGATACGATTCCAAACAACTCACAGACTGCATCGGGTGCTGAAATTGCAGCCCTGTAACCATCAGATCTGACGACGCTGATTGGCCGAAATTATGTTTCGGCGGCATAGTTTACAGATAGCAACAGTCAGCAATGTGTTGGCTGCTGCTGCTCTGGCTGAGGGCTCCTTTCTTAGCGCCCAGATGAGAGAGGGTAATGATACACACAGCGGCCAGGCAGGAAACATGTGACTTATCAGTTACTTTAGACATCGTAACACAATTTTAAACGAGATTTTATTGTAGATTATACATTTTACTGATACCAACTATATAATATGTACCTTGTTCATTAAAAATTAAAAATAAATATTTTTTTTAATTTATTTAACATTTTTAATGACAATCAAACATGTGGGAAGAGGGGGGGCGGCGCCCCTTGCGCCCCTATGGGCCGGCCGCCACTGGTCTTACCCAAGGCTGAATCATAAACTAAACTGTATATACAGTGGGGCAAAAAAGTATTTAGTCAGCCAACAATTGTGCAAGTTCTCCCACTTAAAAAGATGAGAGAGGCCTGTAATTTTCATCCTAGGTACACTTCAACTATGAGAGACAGAATGGGGGGAAATAATCCAGGAAATCACATTGTAGGATTTTTAATGAATGAATTGGTAAATTCCTCTGTAAAATAAGTATTTGGTCACCTACAAACAAACTGTAACTTCTGTAATGTAACTTCTTCTTTAAGAGCCTCCTCTGTCCTCCACTTGTTAACTGTATTAATGGCACCTCTTTGAACTCGTTATCAGTATAAAAGACACCTGTCCACAACCTCAAACAGTCACACTCCAAACTCCACTATGGCCAAGACCAAAGAGCTGTCAAAGGACACCAGAAACACAATTGTAGACCTGCACCAGGCTGGGAAGACTGAATCTGCAATAGGTAAGCAGCTTGGTGTGAAGAAATCAACTGTGGGAGCAAATATTAGAAGATGGAAGACATACAAGACCACTGATAATCTCCCTCGATCTGGGGCTCCACGCAAGATCTCACCCCGTGGGGTCAAAATGATCACAAGAACGGTGAGCAAAAATCCCAAAACCACACGGGGGGACCTAGTCAATGACCTGCAGAGAGCTGGGACCAAAGTAACAAAGGCTACCATCAGTAACACACTACGCCGCCAGGGACTCAAATCCTGCAGTGCCAGACGTGTCCCCCTGCTTAAGCCAGTACATGTCCAGGCCCGTCTGAAGTTTGCTAGAGAGCATTTAGATGATCCAGAAGAGGATTGGGAGAATTTCATATGGTCAGATGAAACCAAAATAGAACTTTTTGGTAAAAACTCAACTAGACGTGTTTGGAGGAGAAAGAATGCTGAGTTGCATCCAAAGAACACCATACCTACTGTGAAACATGGGGGTGGAAACATCATGCTTTGGGGCTGTTTTTCTGCAAAGGGACCAGGACGACTGATGCGTGTAAAGGAAAGAATGAATGGGGCCATGTATCGTGAGATTTTTAGTGACAACCTCCTTCCATCAGCAAGGGCATTGAAGATGAAACGTGGCTGGGTCTTTCAGCATGACAATGATCCCAAACACACCGCCCGGGTAATGAAGGAGTGGCTTCGTAAGAAGCATTTCAAGGTCCTGGAGTGGCCTAGCCAGTCTCCAGATCTCAACCCCATAGAAAATCTTTGGAGGGAGTTGAAAGTCCGTGTTGCCCAGCGACAGCCCCAAAACATCACTGCTCTAGAGGAGATCTGCATGGAGGAATGGGCCAAAATACCAGCAACAGTGTGTGAAAACCTTGTGAAGACATACAGAAAACGTTTGACCTCTGTCATTGCCAACTAAGGGTATATAACAACGTATTGAGATGAACTTTTGTTATTGACCAAATACTTATTTTCCACCATAATGTGCAAATAAATTCTTTAAAAATCAGACAATGTGATTTTCTGGATTTTTTTTCTCATTTTGTCTCTCATAGTTGAGGTATAGCTAGGATGAAAATTACAGGCCTCTCTCATCTTTTTAAGTGGGAAAACTTGCACAATCGGTGGCTGACTAAATACTTTTTTGCCCCACTGTATATGTAAGGGAAACTTCTGCAGCCATGGAGAGTCAGGACTCAGAGAGACACGAGGAGAGTTGAAGCTTTGATGTCAAACACTGATAGTTTATTACAAGTCAACGGCCAGAGAATTCATATCAAGAGTCACAGCAGCAAAAGGTTCTGACTGCACGGGTGGGTTGTCATGTCAATTCTGACCAGCATATATCTCGATAGACCTTTTAACTAGTTCAGAGAGAGTAAACAACATATTTGGGGAGATGGGGCGTTAACATCTGGAGACACAGGAGATGTCTCTCACATCTGTGGAGCTTAGCGTAAAACTCCCTATGTCCGCTAGGTGAAGCCATAAAACTTATAGTATCAACATACGACTGCATTATCACATTCCTTACGGAAGATAAGGAGCAGGGCTGATCGTAAATGTCAACACACAGAATATGTTAAATATCTTAGGAGTAAGGAATAATTATTCTTTGACACTTAGGAAGAGAGAAGAAATATTCTCTAACAATATATATATATATTAGGGCTGTCAGTCGATTAAAATATTTAATCGCATGATTGTCCATAGTTAATCGCGATTAATCGCATATTAATCGCACATTTTTGATCTGTTTTAAATGTACCTTAGAGGAATACAGAAAAATACACATGCGTTAATCGCGTTAAAATAATTAGTGGCGTTAACGCGTTATACAGCCCTAGTTATTATAAAATTATATTATAAAACAATTCACTCACCAATTCATAATCATGAAGGTGGAATCTAACTGTATCCCGAATCATTTGTATTGCATCCAGGGGTAGAAACTTGTTTATTTCTGCTGTAAATTTGGGCATTTTAACATGGGGGTTTATGGAAATTCCTCCTTTCTGCAGTCATCGCCTATCGGCCAATAGATGAACTGCAGTTTGTGGCACTTCCTTATTGGCCTCCCGGCACAGCCCCAGAGTTTGCTGCTTGGTATGAATACTTTCCGGATGCACTGTAAATATAAATATCATATAAATTACATTATTATAAGTCCATAATCCAAAAATAAAAGCCCAATAAGATGAAAACTTCACAAATATATAAATGAACATGCGGAATGTATAGGTAGTAGTATAGAACTAGTGAAGGGTGTGCAGCACCTCAGTATATATAGTAATAATATCAGAAATAATTGTCAGAATATAAGTTAATAACAGCAGCATTAAATACACACGGTCACTATTAAAGGACTATTTTGTGTTACAGAGACCAGCGTCGGAATACACGGGTTATCTGTCCATCTCACATCACAGAGCCAGGACTGAGATATTTGGAGCTGAGGAGGAGGTGGGGGAGTGGGTTGTATTTCAGGTCATTAGCTGTGATGAGGCTTATCAGATCCGTCTATCTGAACACATCCATCTTCTGCCTCTCCAAATAAATTGCTCTTTATTACTCTATCATTCAGGTTATTGCCTATGAAATAATGAGACACTCCTGGTCAGGGCCAGCATAATTGATTTTTCTCTTTCTCCCGTGTGTGTGTGTGTGTGTGTGTGTGTGTGTGTGTGTGTGTGTGTGTGTGTGTGTGTGTGTGTGTGTGTGTGTGTTCACGGTATTGTTAATATTAATTAAGCCGGGGATTACTGAGAACATAGGATTGTGGGGAAAAAAGCAAAGCAAAACTAACAATGCAAATGTATCAACAACTTGTTAAAAACATTCTATATTTTGTGTTAAATATTTTCTATCTTTAGGTTGCGTCTGATTGTTGTGGATTTCAGCAGATTTGAACCTACCATAGAGCTCAGATTTGTACCGTGGATAACTAAGACGATGTTGAATCTCATCATCGTCTTAGTTAGGAGGGGGGGCCGCAGTATAAATGTTTCATTCCTCCTGAATGGCAGGTTAAGTGAGGATACGATAATACTGCCGACAGTAATGGCAACTTTAATTTCCTTTTCCTATTGTGGAGATTTATGTGGAGAAATTAAATTCCAGCAGCTCGCAGGGCTCAATAATCATTATACAGAGCAGAGAGTGAAAGGAAAAGGGAAACATCTCCATGGTCACAATATATAAAAGTAGCAGGTTAAGCACCAGGGAAGAGAAGGTAATCTGTGAGGGCTTAATAAACACAAAATACATCAGACTGTTTTTTTTTAAAGTCTCAGAGCGCTGAGTAAAATTAACAACATGCTTTATAAAGGAGCTGAGGGCGATCACCAGTTGGGAGTCGCCTCCAAAGGCACACAAAGACTCTGGGAAACTACCTCCACCCGCTACACCCATAAGTAAGTACATTTCTTTATTGAATGATTGACATCTGACACAGCTGATGGTGAAAGCCCCTTTCTTTTTTTTCTAAACAGCCACTGGATAACGTTTTTGACGGGCGATTGTCAATGAAATTGTGAGACAAGTGACATGAAATGCTGTGCAGTCCAGCACAAAGTGTTGCCAACCCTAACACCATGGCAGTATTCTAGAGTCAGCTTCATTTCCACTAGGACAATTTCTAGTTGGGGTCTTTGGGGGCCTACGTCCTGATTAGTATTGAGTATTATTTCTACATTGCTATGTCATCAGCAGCGGGACACATAACCTTTGCATTTAGCTCTCAAATGATTTTGTTGTACACTGTCAATGAGAATTTTTAAACATGTGATTTTGCCTAATATATTTCAACATCTCCTCATATAGATATTTCCTTGTTGGGGTGAATAGAGTGATGTATCTGTCCAGTAATGATTGTCGGAGCAGTTTACTTATAGAAATGTGCAGATATGAGAGTATTTTTTATTAATTAATTTATTATTTAACTTGTTAAGCCCCGAGCCTGTTTTTCAAGTCTCAGGCTCGAAAATGACATTCCCAGAACAAATGACCATATCTTCCCTTCTAAAAGGGTTAAATTAATAATCTTTTTTCTCAAAGCAAGGTTACACCTGTGAGTTGGATGTATAAGTGTCAGAATCAATATAGATGTTTTTATTTTAAAGTAAATACAGATTGAACACAGTAAAACAATTTTAATTATAGTGTCCGTCCAAAAAAAAGAAATTACTTATAGTGAAAACCACCCTTGAATGATGGGATAGTAGACTAAAAGCTTTAGGAATCCAAACTACAACATATAATAAGTACCCTGTATCAAGATTGATGCAAAACAAGTGAAATGTGACCCTTTTAGAGAGATTTAGCAACAAAAACCCACTTCTGGGGTCATTTGGGTGCATTTTCCATATCTCTGGCCCCCCTCGTTCGATTTTGATGATTGACATCTCTTTTTAACCGTTGGAGCCAATAGAATCGAGGGAAAGTTCCTAAAATCCATCTAAACATTACCCATTGGTGAATGACTGATGCGTAGCCAGAATGCCCCGGAACCGGAAGCTGCGATAGTGTCAGGGTGCGTGGAAAAGGTAGGACCCAAAAGCAGTATTAACAAAAAGCGAGCTTTCATTTACAAAAAGCCGATGACAAAAGAAAACGAGTCAAAGTTAGCATTACCAAAAAAACAGGGGAGCACGAGTAAATAATCCAGGACCAAAACTTCAAGGACAAACATGGAGCGTAACATGAAGGGAAAGACAAACAATGAACCAACACTGAACACAGGAAGAGAACAGACTAAATACAGGGAGGGGTAATCACAAGACGAGAAACAGCCGGGCAGGGGAGGAGAAACACTAGACACACCAGGGAAACTAACGACAGGAGGAAAAACACAGGAAGAAGGACCAGACAAAAAACGAGGAGGAAAACATGACAGGGAGAACAGCAAAACACCCAAACCTAGACATAAAAACGTGACATAACATGAATATCGTGACATACACTCTTGGTAGCTATCATTAGCAGCTAATATGAAAACTCCGTTATTGACATAAAAATGGAATGATGGATTATCAGTAATCATTTCAAAGTGACACAGGGTAAGTGTAAGTGAACATGAAACTATTCAGCGAAACTTTCAATAATAATCTAAGGTATTGAGTTTTGGGGTAATACTTGCATACAAATCTTAAAATGCCTTCAGGTTTCTAAAATATATCATATGTGGTCAATTCAACAGTGGATCCAGCAAAGATTCACATTTTTGCATGATTTTAGTTATTGATTTGTTGCTGTCACGTACATTTTACTTTTGATAAATTCGAGTCAAGCTTAGTTACATGTGATGGTAGCTAGTTAGTGCTCTTACCTGTGTGCCTCCTCCACAACCAGACTGTATTACAACTCTTAAGTACCAGTTCTATCTACTTTACTTTAAACAATTAAAAAGACAAAATCAACTAAATGTATTGAAATAACAATCTTTATTTTAGGTGCCTCTTCTTCTTTTAAATTAAACTTTCAGACGTGAGATATTGAAATACAGTAATAGTACTGTTTATCTAAAACGACTGAGCCACTCCTTACAGTTAACTTCATAATTCTTATTGTCTAAAGCAGGGGTTTTCAAAGTGTGGGAAGGTGAGCCTCCCCTCAGAGAACATAAGAACAGCCGCCCCCCCCCCTCCCAATTATTATTGCTATCATTATTATTATTATTGTTGTTGATGCTATAATGCAGGGGTATTCAATTGCATTTCAAAGAGGTCCAGTAAGAGAACATGTCATTAAATGCTGTTTTCGCTGTCTACCTTTCTCTTCTTTGAGCACGCCATTTGAAATTACTCCGACTGTTTTTCTCTTCTTGTCTCGTCTCTGTGTGTGTGTTTGAATCTATCGCACTGACTCACTGACTGCACCAATTTGATTGGCTGAGTAGCGTCACCTCCT